ACGTGTCATTCCAACCTTCTTCCACTTCATCGCAGCCTTTTCATCAATCACCGACACGGCACACCCTCGAGTTCAGTCACCGATTTGAAAAACTCACTTCCCGAAGAACGCCTTTCGAAGCCAACCTTTTTTGAAATGGAGAACATGCTTCATCCAACCCGGTTCTTTGTGATCAGCATTCAACAATGATTTTTGTTAACCACTCTATCGAAACTATCGATATTGACTTTCGGAACATTTTCTCAAATCTTAGAAGGCACGGGTCGCAATTAGATCCCCAGAGCAAATCTATCCTTGAGTAGGCAGCACTACTCTTACTCGCATGGCTGGTTATACTGCTACTTTGGGTAGTCTCGTGTTCCTCTCGCAATTTCGACACTTTTGTTTATTCAAGTTTTATCTCTTCTAGGAAACAACTGATCAATAGCATAACCACCATCATGGTCATGCGTGCATTTGCTAGGAAATGTTTGGAAGCTTTCGGCCATTCGCCCAGAATGATTGAAGCTGGAGGATGAAGAGATCTGTGAAGAGATCTTTGGAGAGAGTCGTTTTTGGGGTGGTCGCAATCTTTAACTTTCTTCTCTGCTGATTCAGGGCGCAGGGGAGGCGATAGTCCGATAGAGCGATGCCAATGCTATATGGTGGATGAGGTATCGTGGCCCTGGCTATCTCCCTCAGAACGTGGTGAGTTGGCATTGCAATGTGAGGTCGTACATTCGGAGAAAGGAGAATCTGAGACGTTTCTGACGATTCCCTCGCAACCCGAAGCCAGCCTAGAGGGCTATTCCGCGCTGACTTTAGCAATGCTTGTCTTCATACATTGAAGTGGTTCCCAAACCAGGCCACCTAGCGAATCCAACAAAACGAGAGCGATATTCTCAGAATAACGGAGTTCGGGCTTTGGTTGAGCTGGTGCTTCCTGCTGCTGCGAGGTAGCCAACAAGACGTGCCGCATGTTGTTGTCGCAGTGGACTCATGACTCATCTTCCACTGGTGACCGATTAGGGAAGGCTCTGCTTTTGCCGTCCCAGAATGGATTTTCCCCAGATGGTCAGGCGTGCTTCCCGCTCATGGTCGGCCGGACCATAAGGTTTCCATCAAAACTTCATTCTGCAGCAGTCCTTGCCATACTGATGGCGTGTGCTGGTGCATCGGCTGCGCTCAGGTATCTGCTACAATACCCTGGTAGCAACGTCCGGAGGCACTCCCAATTTAGGGTGCAAGGGGCGCTCATCAAAAATGACCGCAGGCCCAGTATGAGGTTCATAGCTCGTTTCGTCTTTGCCGTTGCGATTGGACCACTAGCTCAGTACCCTATCAGTAGCAGAGACTGGGTCAAACACAGCGCTGATCTCTGTTGTCCTCCTTGCTACAGAGTTCATTTGAGGATCGTAAAGCATAATCATTCATTATAGTCACTGACCTATTTTTATTCCTAGTTGATTAACCCGTTACGGGCTTGCGCTTCCGAAACCACGCTGTTAAGGCTCTTGAAGCATACTTCAACATACTAACGTATTTCGCAATGAACGGTCTTAAAGGATAAAGGATAAAGCATTTGCCGTTGATCAATCCCTTTTTGGGATGCGGCACGCATTCTACTTCCATTTGTACATTCGTAGTGGCGTTTGAATGCGATGTGGCCTATACAATGACTTGCGGGGGCCAGCCGATGTACAAGTCAGTGTTGCCCGGACGACTCACGACCCAGGATTTGATCCCCGGACCGCTCGCGTGGTACGCGTGCCATTACACCACTTCCCCAACGGTCTCAGACGAAAGCAATATGAATTTGAATAGAAATGAGACAGGAATTATGAGACACTTGAAAGTATGCGAACAGGGAGCTAATACCCTCGCTGATCTGTGCGATACGGCCAGTGTTACCAATCGCAACATATGTGGCGTCTGTGCCTTCTCAAGTAACACGCTTCTCTCGCGTTTTCCTTCCCTCGCAGTGCATTTGCGACATGAGTCATCCGCTCCGGAAAAAAATATTTTGCAAAGTCGTCAGAGTTAATGTCGTGCACGATTAGACGATGGAAAGCAGTAGTTGACCTATATCGTGTGAGGTTTTTTGTCGTAGGTACCAGCGATATTACCGAAGTTCCGCGCCCAATCCTCTGGCATCAATCATGAATGTTTCTCACAATTTAAAAAAAAAAACCAAAAAATAAAATAACAGGATTGTTGTAAATTGGCTTGAATTCGAATGCAATATTATATTAATAATTTTTCTTGATGAGGTGGTGTAAGCCCAGGATGCCTTTTCTTGAGCGAATGGCCAAATCTCGGTCGATCTCTCCAAGCACCAACACCCATCTCCTAGGTTATTCACATGTTCAATTTTGATACATTGATCCACACGATGGCATCGACTCCCCCTCAATGTCAACTGTGGATACACCCGCACTCAATCGCGGATTGGAAGTGAAAGTAAAATGCGTGGTCGCCATCCCTGAGGGTTCCCTATATAAAACCTTTAGTAGGATAGAAAGAAATTTCGGATTAGAGGGGGAATATAATGAAAAAGATATGGGTATGCTCAAAGTGAAACTACTTCTACGGCCGCCGATCAGCCTTCGGACATGGTCCTGCTTGCAAATGCTTGGTGTTTGCGATAAAGCTTTGAGATAGAAATAGCACCTTTGCCCTTTTTCCATTCAAGTGACCCGCTTCAATCAAATTTCGAGCCTGGGAAAACAGCGACCACACAATGTAAATTTTGAAATCAAATGACTTTTTCTTTCCTCCGTGCGAAGTACAAACCATGAATGCACATGCCTTCAAACGGGCCCCAATCGATGAACCCTTGCCACTTATTTCGTCAACGACACCTCCTAGAATGCATTTACAGCTCCACCGAAGCCGAACTCTACCGTACTCATTCTGTCTATGTTTCGCTCTGTTTGCAACTAATCAGTACTTTCTGGTGATTAACATTACTGCTTAGTTGATTCTTCTTTCGTACTCACTAACTGCGTGTTCAAAATATTTGATTGTTTATTCTCAGACAGATTCTGTAACTTCGTTCAGTCTCTTTAACCGCATGAGAGGCGAAGCTTTTCATGAAATCCTATCACCTTGACATTGAGCGCTTCTACGATCCTCAAAATTTGAATTTCGATTCCAGGTCCAGACAACCCCGAAACTTTCAAAAAATTGTTGTTTACTGACAAGGCTGATAGAACTGATAAAGAGCCCCACCGATTATCTAGTTCACTGGCGCCAATCCTGTGCTTCAACGAACGTGATCAAGGCTTTCTTGAGGAGGTGGCTTTGCAAGAAAGATCACAAAGACTAACTCCTGGCCACTTGCGCAATCAAGCGACACCCAAAGACCACAAACTGTTCTTGTGATCACGGCTGAACTGGGGTTGCTTTCGAAGAATAATTGGTGCCACTATTTAGGGTGCTCACTACCTCGGGCCGAATTTTCAGTCTGTGCAGGGTGCAATCCTCTTAACGTTTCGTCACATGTGTACTTTTACCCTCATCATCGATCATACGTTGCAGTAACGACTTCATTTAATTTCTGTAAGCCTTTTAATTTGTGGACCTTACGAATCATAGAAAGAGCCTAATATGATAAAGTTACAATGGTACGGTGCACCTCCCTTACAAAATTATTTACCTGGGTGCGACCAACTTTATGAGATCCTCACAATTGCCTTTCGAGCACTAAGCATCGGGCGGAAAAACTACAGCTGGTCTTACTTGTTTCATATTTTTAATAGTTAGAGTTACCTGCTAAGAAGTAACACCCACAGGACTGTACCCAATGGATGGTGCTAATTTTATTTTTTGGTGTACTTATGTACTCATCGCTGCCTGGGTTCACTCAGATCTCACTGGAAATCCTTTTTTTGTTTGTTCTTTTTTAGTTCTATATTACATATATTCAACGTCGAGTTTCAAGTTTGAAGCATGCGGTTTACGTATTATATGTTATGTATGTACCAGACCAGACAGTTACCATAATATGTACGCTTACGTCCGCTGTCATGCACTACCACATATTGTCAGCTGTTTGTGAACTATGCACGAACATTGCACTTCTTCGAAAAATTATTACATATATTCAATTTCCCAATTACCTACTTTAACATAGTTTTTATCACTCGTCATGCTGGTATTGTTATCCTTTATTGTTCGGTACGTGCACTTAAAGGCACAACCCAGGCAGAGGTCGTGTGAACGCTTCTCTTCGGTCTGTAGTATAGACCCCTAGAGGACAATCACAAATGTGGCGTTCCGTGCACGGAAACCAACCGACAAGAGCGCTTGGGCCTTGCAAAGTAAGCTGCTAAGCTGCAGATTTTTTCTCTTATCAGGCTGTTGTCTGGCGATCTCTCATCTGTAGCGCTCTCTCGCCCATACTCTCCTCTCCGCGCTTAGTCTCTCATTCCCTTAGCACAGCCGATTAGGAAGGTGAGTGAGCCCTTAACCTAAGCGTTTTTGACGGATTCTTTTCCTTTTTTCTTTACTGCCGGCCCACTTCCCACCAATACATTCGCATTCGTGTACAAGAGCCACACCAAGGTGTAATCCTGGGGCATGCCTTTAAGTAGCTACAAGAGAATTATGGCCTTTCCATCCCATTCAAAATTTGTCGAGTTCACCGCAGGCTTCGTAGGCGCATGATTGAAGAAGAAATAGCTCGAATCCGATAATGGGCATCTGTAGAGCTCATAGCTAGGACCTCTGCCTCTCTTCGAATAAGGCTCAACTCCGCTAACTCCTTATTCATGCTAGACTATTACAAATTGCCAAATTGCAACAAAATCCCTCAAATTCAGGAAGTGAACGAAACTCTGAGAAGTAGTCCTCGTTCTACATCCATCGAAGCATTCTTACTCTTAGCCTAACCTACGCTTTTTTTACGAATTTGTTGTTATCTGTGCATAAATATCATTATCGAAGCCTCCCGTCCTTTTACTGTTTTAGTTACGGACAACGGGTCTCTATAACTCAAACTTAACTTCGATCATTTCCAGATGCCAAAGGTCGCCATAGCCGGTGCCGGCCTAGTTGGCGCGCTAAACGCATGCTACTTCGCTCAACGTGGTTGGGAAGTGGAGGTATATGAATACAGAAGAGGTGACAACTTTGAATATTGTCTTCGCTTGAGCTTAACATCAGAGTTCTGCCGCAGTCGTAAAGCAAACTGACGCGTAGTGCTCCGTATATATTGGCTGTGTGCGCTTATTTTTCAAAAAAATAAGGCTCCCTACTCAATCCTGTTTTCATGTGCAGGCACGTGAAGCCACTATCTTCCGGTTGCTATAAAATATTTTGCTCAGATATAAGAACAATGGAGCATGTGCCGGGCCGCAGTATCAACTTAGCGCTATCACAAAGAGGAAAATGCGCACTGGAAGCGGTTGGACTGAAGGATTACATTGTTGAACAAGGTACTTTAGAAAATATGCCTTCACAAGTTACAATAAAGTAGGTTACAAAAACTGCAATTATGCACTGCAGACGGTTCAACGTTAGGCCGATACATCAAAGTTAGCGAAACAGCGATTTCGCTAGCGCTACGGATGCGTTGCGTACAGCAATCGAGCGACTGATCCGCAGGGACGCTAGCGCAATCCTCAATTTGCGAAGCTGAAATCAGCCGATTTCATGCGTGAAAACCTGCACAGTTTTGATAGTCATGTCACGGGTTGACGAACTCCGACGCCCATTAGTGCATATTGCTTCAAAAGGCTCGTAAAACGAAGATCTGCTCAGTTTCCCGTAGAAACTTTGTGCCGAGTCCGAGCCAAAGAATAAATCCTAAAGAATCCAGGGCCTTCATCGTATCACTGCGACGCATCGGAGGCAATGCGCAGAGGGAGTGCCGTAGTCGCGTGATGGCAGGGTGGGAGCTGGGTGTGAGGTTTCTGGAGACGTCCAATCCGTCGGAACTGTGCATTGTTTACGCTGCAATGCATTCACATGTGTTGGTTCCCCACCGTCAACAACCGTTGGGATAATTTGATGGCTATAATGCAAACGTCCCAGTCTGTCTAGTTATTCGAACAATCCGTCTTGAAGGCGCAAAATGGACCTCTTTTTGCCCATGGACCTCTGATAATGTCGCAACGCCAACCACTTGGGGTCTCTGCACGTGTTAACAAATAACACACAGGTGTTGCCAACAACGCGATCATGGATTGCTTGATACCATTCCATGGGGAACTGCTATATCGTGGAAGTGAATACCTTATAATACCTTATTGAAGAGATTCGACTATGATGTTGCTTTAACACACTATGGCGGAGCACAGGCGGCGGACCGGCAACTCACAAAGGATTGGACAGCCAGAGCTCGTAATTGACGCTTTGGCCAAAAAGGCCCACATGCGCATCCTTCCTGCCCCGACTACGGCTTCGACTGCCGCATAGTTATCGTCATGCTTCACACAACTTGCACCGTAATCCTCCTCAACGTCGCCACAATAACCGTCGGAACCATGGGGACTATATGAACATCTGCTAGCTCTCATGTTCGCATGTCAGACAAGTCGCAGCTAGTAGGTAAGCCCTCCATCAAAATTTCTAATCGAGTCTATGATAGCGCACAACAGAAAAAGACTGAACGTCAAATGCACCGATAGCTCTCATTGAATGTAGATTCCACATGCAAGAACAGAAATCACGACAGTTGCTCACGAAATAAAAGAAATATCCAGTAGACTGCCGGCAGCTTGTGAGAGTATCTCAAAAAGTATCAACGCATGCATCGAATCTCAAAGAAATTCTATTCGTAATTCTTCAGACTGGTCCATGTCGTCGACTAGCCACAAATCGGACGGGAAAAACATTCAGCCGTCAGCCGATACGCGGCGACAGTCCTGGAGAGGTAAAAGCCGTTTCTTTACTTCAAACTCAGAATAACTTTCTTTCCAAGAGCATTTCTAACTGCATTGACTACCTATATTGGTTTCTTTCGAAAAAAATTGCTTCACACTTTCAGCATATCGTCTCGATCACACTCGATGCACTTGAACGAAGTGCTCTAGTCAAAGCAAAAGCAATGAAAAAGTGACAGTAGTATGATGTGAACAAACTTGCAAAATTTTCGTCTACCCATAATATGCTGGAAATAGAGTTAAACCCCTTTGGAATGCAGAAGCACTTCTCGCCGTACGAAAAAAAAAAAAAAAAATTACTTAAATCGCAAATATGATATTCACTCAAAATCCAGCGTCCCTTTAGAGATCTCATTACGAGTTTACATAGACTTTTAGTATTATTCGTTCGCAACCAAGAGTATCGAGCGGTAATGTGGACAAGAAAGAATATGTCTGTACCTTGAATCAATTTTATTCTTGTATGACCACTTGGAATACTTGTACCGGCAGACGACCACCCGCACGGCACCCTGTTCTTTGATTGCATTTATCTCGACAGCACCTCGGACCGGTAGACTAAAGCGGAGATTTGAATTTACACGTGATAATCGAGAAGTAGGGTATGAATCATTTAAGGACTGTATGTAGAAACGTCGCCGCCTTGCCACCGTCCATTTCTCACGATCTTTCAGGTGATGGACCGAAAATAAGGTCTGTCTAGATCAACATCCTAGTTTTGAGTCACTGAATGCAGCAATGAAGTCTTGGAAGTGAATGACCAGGAGTATTTGCGTGCAACGTGCGAGAAGACCAAGAAAGAGTTGCAACTTGCACTACCTAGCAGTGAAGTGCGCGGGGAGGGGCATTTTAGCCTGCGTTGCTTCACACTAATGTGCACAGAGGTGTGAGTGAGATTAATACATTAGGCTTCACTTAGCATTATCTTTGAAAAGCATTAAAATATATTCCTGTGTATAGTCACCATAATTTGACAACTCTATTACTTGGCTTCGATCTACGATGGCTTTTGGTTCTTTTCGTTTATTCCGGGGTTCTTGTTTCAACCCGCGCGACTCGTGGCCGGGTGGTTGGTATCCCGGACCCCTTACACAGTGCATAATACTATACATTTAGCATTGGTGGTTCGAAGATACCTAAGCCAGGGACAGTCTGCAAGCAGGTGAGAAGGCATATTTGGAAAATTCAGATTTCATTCAGCTTATTTTGAAGGTTTCAGCATGAAAGGAACCGATATCACCGTGAAGGCTGACTTGGTTGTCGCTTGCGATGGAGCATATTCTGCTGTGAGGCGATGTCTCACTACTCAGCCAAGGCGAGCGATTTCTAGAGAGGCATAGAAAAATATCTCATCATGGTGCACATAGATTGTAGCTTCATGGCATGGAGCTGCCTTGACAACATGTAAAAATGCGAGAAAAGCAGGGAAAATTGCTGGTGGAGAAGGAGGTCAACTTCCATGGTTCAGGAGCCTTAATTTGATGAACGCCCTTCCACACACTTTCTCTTTCCAATTTATTGAGTACTCAATGTTCTGAATTACCCCATTTTTCACAGGACAATGCAGTAACGAAACTATTACTATTCAAAATTTGATCGTTGTAATTAAAAAGAAGCTTTCTCCTATTTTCATGCTGATACTTCAGATTTGACTACTCACAAGAGTACATCGGACATGGCTACATCGAGTTGAATATTCTGCCAAAAAATGGTGATGTACGTGATAGTTCTAGAGCTTGTTTGAAACTGATCAGGCAGATCCTCAATATAGTTTGGATTTCAGTATGCACTCGAGCCAAATGTGTTCCATGTATGGCCAAGAGGTCAACTCACACTGATAGCGTTGGCGAACCGTGATAAAACGTTCACAGGTATGAAAAGTGGAGTGCGAGATGAGGTCGTCCTGTATTTGCTGTCCACTGACGATTGGTAGTAGCTCATAATAACCCAACATGGTAGCATGCATGGCAGTAAGACCGAACAGTGATAGGGTGATGAGGTCTTTGATAAATAATCAGTCGCTCCGCCAACGATAAGGCAGGGTAAGGTACAATGCTTTGGACGCGATCTGTTAGGCTAGGCTTCTTTCAGTGAACTCTATTTTTAGCTGGGAGAGGGGCGCAGTAGATGTAGGGGGAGTTGCTGACATCGCATGGTGAGTCGTGGGATTTCTTTTCAAATTAGCCGGTTTCTACTCAATAAGTTGTCGCCTACATCTACTGCTTCCCGTATTCCAATTACACTTCCGCGTTCCCGATCCCAAACGAAAGTCGGATGCTTAGCACACAAAGGACACATTTGACAAAAGATTGGTCCTTCCTATCACCAATAGTTAGGGCTGCGTTCAGAGGTTGAAAAGGCTTAGCATCCGACACTTATCCGATTAGTGGGAACTGAATATCTTGATGCCGTTTCTCGTTTACAGCACGTGATGAACCGACCAGTAGGCAAAACGCCTCTCTCAGAATGTCTCTTTCTAATTTTTTGAGTTTACTTTCTTGCCAGGTTTTTCTTCAAATAGAATGAGGGTAATATGTGACCCGACTCGTTTTTTTCAGTGACTATATTCGCCCCGTTCTCCGAATTCGAAGACAATATGTCCACTCCTGAAGATGTCGCTTCATTTTTCCAGAAGAACTTTCCCGACGCTTATGAATTGCTTGGGAAGTAAGTGCTCAACCATGCATTTCATGTCGGATAGCGGTGTTTTATTTATAATACATCTTTCTTTTGTAAGCGCAAATCAGATCAAAAGGTAGATAGTACGAAAACATCATAATGAATAAAGAAATACGTGCACTATAAAGGGAGGCAGACCTCCTATAAGGAGCAGACCTCAGAGCAAGCAGAAAAAATAGTATTTGTGGCCGACGTGCCGTGAACAGCTATTGGGATCTTTAAGCGACAGCGACACACTTCCTTTACGCTATCCAGCCTAACGAATCAAATGGCAAGGAGGATCCCTCTTGCTACGCGCTGTCCAATTTTTTCTACTTTTTCACAACTGCTACTCTTCCCCCGTTGCTTGATGTCGACGGACGACAATTGTACTGTAAAATGTCTTTTGAAGTATATTTCGTGAAGAGATTGGAAGTAGCGTAAATACGTCGAGGATTCCTCGACGGAGCATGGCTTCTGGCGGTGAGAACACGCGAGAGAGATGTTACCATGGAGCACTAGACGGTCACAGCGCCGGCGATATGATAGCGTGCCAGAGAGGCGTGACTTAGCAGCAAAATCATGTGGCGACCGTTTTGACGATGCTCGACAATTTCCACCCTGGTTGAAAGTGTGCATTAAACATTTTTGAATACAGCAGCTGCTTCCGAAGCATATTCTGCGTTTAGTAGTCCAGTAGTTCGCGGCAATTTGGTTCAAGAAGCTGTAAGAAAGCAGATAATCCATTCACTAGCATAAAAAGGATCGCGGAAACACGGCATTTAAAGCCTAGTTTACCGAAAGACGGACTAGTCTAGCAACTACGGCCGCTCGACATAAGAATAACTCGAGACAGAAGATCACAGACGTGAGCGCAAACAAGACAATCTTAAAACCATTGGCCATAGAGTGTAGAGAATGCTCAAAGACACTACGCGTGCCGTTCGAATTCAGCTACCTCATTCAGGCAGGTTTATTTCAATAACCTAGCTCGGAATATGTCCTTCGGAACACTGGAAAATGTAGAGCAAACAACTGCTGCATGTTATCGATATCGATGGGCTTTTGAATCTCGTAGCTCTGAAGTTTGTATAGGCAAACCAGGATTAAGCCGATTGTGGATGGGATACCACGAGGGAAATTGTAAGGTTCGTGCCTAGATCGTCGCTAAAATTGCGCGCTTAGGGCGCTAGTCCTTACGGTGCAACCATCGATCCCGATCAACGTCCTCACCACGCGAGGACGGTGAGATCAGCGCATATTTATGTAAAGATCAGCGTGCTCTCTCTCGTGTTTCTTAGACCGGCCCTGTCTCGCCATCGTACTACATTCGACTTATTGAAGGTTAAGGCCGCTAGTTTTAGCGTTTTCAAAGACCTTCTCTTGTTTCCCTTCCCGCTTTCAGGTCGTTCCACAGCTAAGTTATCACCACGAAGCGCTAATAGCACCAGTTCAATCCCGGGGTTTGTCTTAAATAATAATACCTAACCGCCACTGAAATAGTCCAATATGCTTCTCCTCTAAAACCACGATTCTGAGAAACTATCAAAAATTCTTAAAACTTTGTAAATAAAAAGCGATCCAGAAATGGTTGAAAATTTCTGTCGGTTTTTCGAAACTGTTTTCAGAATTACAGTATTTAGCAGATCCTAGATCATCTCGATTCAATATCTTTTGTTATTGTAACCTCTGAAGGATCGAGTCAAATGATTCGTATTATTCCTATGCAAATTTCACGGACATCTTTTTCTCAGGGATCACCTCCTCGATACATTCCGCCGCGTTCGTCCACAGCCTTTAGTTTCTATAAAGGTAAGTATCCATTTTGATATTTTTGCATTCTTTACACAATTTCTTTCCATTCGCTTGCCCTTTAACACACTGACGACAGCCGCTGTGCGGAGCAAAGGCTATCGTCAGTGTTTGGAGAAGTTTCCTTCAGAAATCTGGCTTCAGCAACAATCATCAGTCTTCAGCTTCACCGTGAAATCAATCCTTCCATGTACAGAACATTCTTGCTCTTATTCCTACGAATTCGGAGCATCGTCCAAAACAATCTTTCCGCTCGTGTTGGATCGAATTCGAAGCGGTTGCTACCAACAAGTCCTGCTTTGAGATGCGCCACGCACGCACCTGTGGTTCAAAGTTGCGAGGCATTTGAACGCCTATTTCTTCTTGCTATGACTTGTGAAAACCATCCCCATCCTTGAGTCATAATATAAGTCGAAGCCTACAGATGTGTTCTAGTTTCATACAGACTGCATGAAGTTAAAATGCTTGTCATACCTCCTTGCGGTCTCTGACCCATTTATCTATGAGAGGTTGAAGAAGCGGTCGAAGTCGAATGGAGCACTTTAGTTCGATTCCTCCATAAATTGATGTTCCCTAAAAGCGTTGCCCTCCCTATTGACTCAACATGACGATATCGCCGCGATTTCCGACCGTGAGCCCCTGGTTTACCACTCTGCCCCACTCCATGAGGAAAATACGACTCTCCTCAATCGAATAATTCGAAACGGTCGGCTGACCATGCTTGGGAGGCGGCCTCAGCTCTCCTGCTAGCGCGAAGGTTGGCCAGATAGAGATTCGAGTATGGTGAACCACTGCTTTGCAAAATCTAATAAGCAGCCTCCACTGAAGGAGGTCCCCACATCAGCCCTCATTCAGACCTTCCTATGTAGACATTTTATGCGCTTTTCTGGAGGCACCATCCATTGGACAATGCTCTATGAGAGAGGTTGTATTTGTGATTTTTGAAAAGCGCCATATTTGTCGAGAATGAACTTTTGCTACAGATCTTCTTCTTCTCCCTAGCTTTAGTCCCGCGTAGTCGCAGGGTCCGCTGCTTTTGTCAGTCGTCGCCACTTTGCTCCCATACCATCGCAGACGCTGTTCCCATGCGTTCAGCTGGACAGGGCAGTCTGCATGACCGCTCTGACATCCTCGTTCCTGACCCTGTCCAGTCGCGTCCAGCCGCAGGCCCATCTCAGCATCCTCATCTTCAGCGGAGTGAAGCTGCCTTTCGTGATTCTTGTTCAGGGGCCAGCACTCGCTGCCGTAGAGCATCGCAGGCCTTACCACTGCTCGGCACACCTTGCCCCTGAACGTACTGAAGCACCATCGAAAAGGAATTCCGTGGATTCCCTCTATTTCATCCATGCAAGCGTGAACAGTGGTCTCACCACCTGATCCACACTACGTAGCTGCTATATCGCTCCAAGGGTAGCAGGAAATGCCATCCACTTCTTAGAAGTAGCTCTCTCACCATGGCCGTCCACGATCGTTCTGCACCCTCTTCGGAGCTCAGGAACTTGGTCTTCTTGACATTCAGCCGGAGCCCACCTTCTGCCAGGACGTTCTGCCATTTCTGCACCTTGGCTTGAAGTTCCTCTCTGCTATCCGCTATCAAGGCGATGTCGTCAGCGTAGAGGATGGTCTTCAGTGGTCCCTCCATGAGCCCTTTCACCAGGACATCTAGTGTTAGGAGGAAGAGGAACGGGCTCAGAGCTGACCCTTGGTGCACCCCGACCGTGATGTCCACCTCCTTCGTTAGGCCGTATGGGCCGTGAGTATAGGCTGCCTTGGCTCCTTCGTACATGTCCTTCACCAGAGAGATCAGGTGTTCTGGCACGTTTCGTTCCCTGAGCGACCTCCATAGCACTGCTCGCGGTAGCCGGTCGAACGCCTTCTCCAGGTCGAGGAAGGCTAGGTAGCAGGGTCGGCGTTTTTCTCGATACTTCTCCATCACTTGCCTTGCGATGAAGATGGCATCCGTTGTAGACCTTTCGGGCATGAACCCGAACTGTTCCTGGGAGATCGGGACCAGCTCCCGCAGTTTCGAGTCGACCAGTCGCGCTCGCACAACTTCATGGTATGCGCAGTCAACTTGATGCCGCGGTAGTTGGAGCAGTCCATCGCGTCACCCTTCTGCTTGAAGATGGGGACGATAGTACTTGTTCTCCAGGCATCCGGCATCCTTCCTTCGGCAGTCACCGTATTCAGGAAGCGGGTGAGCCACCTCACCCCGTGCTCTCCCAGGGCCTTCCAAGCCTCTATGGGTACTCCATCCGGACCAACTGCCTTTCCAACCTTCATCTTCCCAAGTGCACGCCGAACCTCATCCTCTGTCCAGAGTGCGATGGGACCAGCTGTGGCCTCTGCCCGTGAGTTGTTCTTGCTCGTGGGAGAGGGGGGGGACTCCTCGTTCAGAAGACCTCTTCTTATCTGAGAGGAGTACTCTCAGATAAAAACAGTAAATTTTTGGCAAGTAAAGAAGGTGTAACATTTGAGGGATTTTTAAAGGTCGGGAAACTGCTCAATTCCAGTCGTTTAGCATTTGTGCACAGTTATCCTCACTTGTTGAGCATTTGGCGCTTCCGAGCCACTAATTTCCTCGAGGTCGCAGTGTTATGGGACAAGAAATTCATTAGAGCTGGAGTAGTGGTGCAAAGGGAGTGGACGCGTATGACGTTCCAGACCAGGAAGAGGATGGGATTGATCCTTGAACTTTTTAATCTTCCACGGAAAAAAAGCTCCGCCTCCATAGCAAAAAGAACGGAACATAAGCGTTAGTTTCGATAATACTAATCCTACACACAAGACAAAATGATCACTCTTTCCGTGGAAGATTCCTTTAAGGTATCGTTTTCTGTGGTAATGAGGGCGGAGCTTTTTCCGTGGAGATTCCTTTAACGCATTTGTAAACCATAATACGCTCTGCACTAAGAGCGTTCTAGGTAAGTCAACCAACCATAAGTTTACCTATGGATAATCTCACCTTACTCAATCTGGAACCCATGCATTGTCTCCATGTTACCTTCGAACCGCTTCGTTCAGGTGATAGACACAGAGGGAACGACTCGACGGAATTCTCTTCGTAGGGTAGCTCTCAGCTGACGATTGACCCTTATTTGAGTCAGCCGAAGACTACTTTGTTGGACCCACTAAATTATGCGATCGCATGGCGCCTGCTTTTCTGTACCATGTAGCGATGGAAATGAACTTGTTGTGACCACTTATCCTGCTTGTTTTAGTGCACAGGAATTGCTTGAATTAAAAATTTCAGTGTCGACCCCATGATTTCGGCAATTTTGTGCTTCTTGCTGGTGATGCTGCACACGCAATGGCGCCGTTCTACGGTCAGGGAATGAATTGTGTGAGTAAAGCTCCTCTAGGCACTGTCAACAGTGCCTGGTTCTTCTTTACAAAACTAAGTTGTGCTTCACATGTTTATGAAACCAACTAGGTTTTTTCAGGGATTTGAGGACTGTTTAGTGCTGAAGGAAACGTTAGATGCCTGCAACGACGACATCCGTGAGTTCCATTGTGTTGAAATGTTGCAACCAGCTTTCACACTTCGCATAGTTATTACACAAAAATTACGGAAGTGACGCTCGCTCGCCTGTCCCAAATGTCCACCGAAGAAAGCTGAAACATGTGCTGTCGTCAACGTGATAATATCCTCCGATTTGCGGTCGAATCTAACGTAAGCACTGTGAGAATTTACGAGAATACTGGTACTCCGAGAAAGTCATCAGGTCAGGAGATGGTCTCAAAAGTTAGTGCACAATGGCTGGAGAGGAGAGCGAG